CCCTGCCGTGTCCCATTCCCAACATTCCAAAGGTTCCATTAACCCCTGCCCTGCCGTGTCCCATTCCCAGCATTCCCAAGGTTCCATTAACCCCTGCCGTGCCGTGTCCCGCAGATCCCGGCCGGAGGATCAGGATTTCGGGGTGCTGCGGCCGGAGGGGCTCCGTGGCGGCGCTGAAATATTCCGTGGGGACCCTTTACCTGCTCGTCCTCCTGATCCTGGTGGGAATCTCCATCCTGGCAGGTGAGGCTGGGCTGGCTCCTCCCGGAGCATCCGTGGCCTCGGAATCCCTGCTCGGGAGGGAAAAGTTGGGATCCAGCAGAATTTCAGGGGATCCAGGGTCCACTCCAGCTCCTCATGGAGCACCTGGGGAGGCTTGGATTTAACCCTTGGAATCCAGCTGGAATCTCTGCAGCGTCCGAGGATCTTGTGCTGGGAATGCCGAGGCTCGGGAGAGTTTTGGGAATCCCAAAATTGTTCCAGTCGCTCATTCCCAGCTGAGGTTTCCTGAGATAAGGATGACGGGATGCAGGCAGGGCGTTATCCCTGCACATCCCAGGGTCCTGCCTCCCCTTTCCGAAATTTTGGTGAGTGCAGGGATGGTAAGGACCCTTGGGAATGCCTGGAATTCTGCTCAGCCCCTCGGGAATGCCTGGAATTGCCCCTTGGGAATTTTTGGATTTGCCCCCAGTCCCTCAGGAATGCCTGGAATTGCCCCTCAGGAATGCCTGGAATTCTGCTCAGCCCCTCAGGAATGCCTGGAATTGACCCCAGCCCCTCAGGAATGCCTGGAATTGACCCCAGCCCCTCAGGAATGCCTGGAATTGACCCCAGCCCCTCGGGAATGTTGGGAATTGCCCCTCAGGAACGGCTGGAATTGCCCCTTGGGAATGTCTGAAATTGCCCCCAGCCCCTCGGGAATGTCGGGAATTGCCCCTCAGGAATGGCTGGAATTGCCCCCAGCCCCTCAGGAATGCCTGGAATTGCTCCCAGCCCCTCAGGAATGCCTGGAATTGC